CATAATCTTGTAGCTCTAATAGACTTTACTTCAAATATATAACCAAAAGCAGTAAAGATGTAACAATATTGCTTTGACCCCCACTGGTTTGCTTGCAGCAGATAAAACACATAAACCTGATTTAAGGTACATGCTGTAGTATAATCCCCATTCAAATGAAATAATATACTCAAACTCCAAAGGAAGTTTTATGAACCAACGGTTTCATCATTATCGAATGTTAATACAGACCGTCTCTACTCTGTATGCATACAGTATATTCGAATTAAACTGCTGTCAGTTGTGGAAACCTTATTGATACTTATTTTTACAACCAGCACACCAACAGCAACCATACAATGATGCCATTTTCCACTCATAATTTCTTGACCAGTTATGGTAACATTAAGGCACTTGACCAACAACTGCAGGAGCCAAACATCACTTACAGTTAAAGAGGAAGAAAGCAGCAGTTTAAAGTCACTTCTAATTCAAACTGTCAAACAAACAGGCACATTTGACATTAAGACAAGACCTGTCTGACAGGTCTTTGTAGTAAGCTATATAAAAAAGTATAATAATTTAATTAATTTATAATGAGAACTAGTAGGTCAAGACCACGTTACAAGCCATGTTACGCCTGTACTGCTATAGTCGTGTTATTTATCTCGAGTTAATGTAACAGAGTGCTAACTTGTTGAACTGGGCTAACAACAAGTGTCGCTAATGTGTTGTGGCTAATGCCAATGCTCACCAACAAACCCAGTTAGCTTACTGTCCACTTAGCATGGCACTGAAATTAAACACACCCGCACAGACACACACAGCTTTCAGCGTAACTTACATCTTTCTGTTCTTGTTTGATGTTAAACAGTTTGAGTCGCTGGAGCCGTGCTTTCATCCCATCCGCCATAAACTTTACCAAATCGAGATCTGAGCGGTTACTTCTCCGAGGCTCGCCCTTTTGACAGTGTGGGACACTTCAATTTAAAATTTCATTGGAAAGTTGATTTTGCTCCCTGCGGTTAAATGTCAAGGTTTTCAACATAAAATTACAACACATCCGGTTAAAGTTTTTCAAAGTAAAATAATGAAAATCACTTCACATGGGATATCATTGACACACTACTTGATTGGCTCTTGTTTTGAAAGCCAAATAACCAACTTCAGTTTTTTTCCCATTTAAATTTGGTTATCTTGTCGCAGCTAGATCCGCCAATGCGTTTGGACAATGGGGTGTACACAGTTCCTGTCCCGGGGCAGTCAAACTTTAGGCGGTAGACTTTTGGGTGGTTTTCCCTCTGGTGTTGCATGACTTAGATTGTGTCTATTATCTTCGTTGGTATGACTGAATATAAACAGTATTTCCGGTGTGTAAGGAGAGCAGACCTAATCATCAGCCAAGAATGATTGCCCTGGGGAGGCACTGCTGCTGATAGCTGGAATATGAGAACTAAACCTTATGGTCTCTAGAAGTTACAAACCGTTGTCATGTCAAAGTCTACATTTGACAACGTTTTATCTCAAGTTTCACAGCATTGGTGCAGAACTGGTTACAATACAATTAAAATGTGTGTAAAATTACGTTGACATTGTAGTTTTACACCCAGGCAGCAATTGCATTCCCATATTAAATAACATAAACTACTTTAACTAGGCCATATCTTATTAGCATTTATGTTTACCACTACTTGCTATTAAAGAGTGATTTTAATCAATTTACTTTTATAATTGAAAAACCAGAATACCCAATCCTCATGATGATCATACAGTCTTAATAAAATAGGTTCAGTTAGTAATACTGATATATATTATCTCATTACCATCAGTTCACTTTCTGAATAGTAATAAACAGACTAAAACATTGTGAACTTTGTACAATTCATTAGTGACACCCAGTGGTTACTTATTTCCCATTGCAGGAGCAGCAGAGTCAAATGACTTGTGAATGGCAACATTTTACCAGACATTCAATAGATAACTATTGCTGTTTTTTGGCTGGTAAGTGTTATTCTAGACACATATTTTACCAGTTTTGGGCAATTGTATGCTGCTGGATTTACTGCATGGTAGAAGGATGCTAGTCATTGGGTTCATTGGTTGCTAAAAGGTGTAGGTTTAACTTTCAAACATAAAAAAAAAAATGTATGATAGATAAAAAGGACACATACACAATAAATCATAATATGTCTGTTATACTACAGTCCAGACAGTCTTTTTAATTTTTAAATATCATTAACATCACCCACATCTTTTGCAGCAATATTTTCAAATGTGAGCCCATAAACACGATGCAAATAAATCTACCATCACTTCCCCCACTTGAAAGTGACAGAGTGTGATGTGTGTGTGTCCCAATGTGACAGAGCTAGAGCAACAGGTGGTCTGCCTATCATCATCATCATCGCATTCTTCAAAGGGCTGAAAAGAGACCACACACACACACACACACACACACACACACACACACACGTGAGACACAGACACCGGGTGAGGTGATTTAATGCAGTGTTTGACTGAGGAAATGGGTTTCATGTGTGGCTCGCTGTCTAGGAGTTTGACTCATATCTGTTA